CAGCTGATTCTCAATGACCGCACCATCCCAATAACGACTGGCTCTGCTGGTGGAGTCAACATTGCAAATTCAGTGCACCCGTGCGTGGAAAGTCCCTGTGCCAACGGAGGGACCTGCAGGCCCAAGTGGGACGGATACGAGTGTGACTGCCCTCTAGGGTACGACGGCCGGCACTGCCAGAAAGGTCAGCTGCAGGAGGAATGAATCTGCTCAAATACCTCCAGTTTTGGTGTCACTTTTCTTTGTAGTCGGTGATAGATTCTAAATGGGTACAAGTCTAGTGATTGGTTTGCTCAGACGATTACCAGCATAAAGGTTTGGAAGAGTCTGGGAGCTGAGTCATTTTGTTGCACTGTGATTAGAGAACATCAGGGTGTGTTGTTTATGCAATGTTTATAAAAAAGAGAATACAATAAGACTGCTTTGAGGATGCTTGTGAGGACCAGGAGTTGATATAATTATTTTTTAGAGTAAAGAATATCAAAGGCACACTAGGTGGTTTGTGCATTTAGTAAAGGAGAAGAGCATATGTAAGAAATCTGTGATAGCAATGCACTGAGTTTGTATTTAATACTTTATTTTCAAGCCTTTGGCATAATATCCCCTCTCTGTGGGATTAAATGTGTGTTTTTTTTAATGTATTGTCATGTAAAATAATGTTTTGGACAACCTTTCTTCTCTGTTTTTAATGCTTTCATTGACCAGAGTGTGGGAATTATTGTTTGAACAGTAAGTTTTCTTCTGTGAATTCACAAATCAGATCGCATCAACCTGCACATTATAATCATCTGTCATTAGAAAATGCACTACATATGTTTTTCCTTTAGTATATTTCTCCACACAGAAATAAAATGTGCTTTTCTCGCTCAGCTGTACAAACTAGATACATGCTGATACTGCCACCTTGTGATGACATGAAATCATTGTTTTTTTTCTCTGTCCAGCTGTGACTGAAGCCATAGAGATTCCTCAGTTCATTGGACGGAGCTACTTGACTTATGACAACAGAGACATCCTTAAAAGGTGGGTAGTGAAATGTGTTTACACCTAGTCTGTTAAATTACTATCCTCTTAGACTGATTCCTAATTGTATGACATAGACAAAGATCCCTCACAGACTTGCAAATACATTTTACATTTCTTTACAGGGTGTCTGGGTCCAGGACCAACCTTTTCATGCGGTTTAAGAGCACAGCGAAGGACGGCTTGTTGCTGTGGCGAGGAGACAGTCCAATGAGACCCAACAGTGACTTCATCTCTATGGGTCTTCAGGATGGAGCTCTAATCTTCAGGTATTGATTTGTTTCTGTAACATATGAAGGACAGCATGATGTCAGTTTATAACCATTCTTATTAAATATATCTACGTTATGAGGAAACTTCAAGGTGTGAGTCCTTTGTGGTTTCTCTTCTGGGCGTAGGGAGGCAGATCTAAGCTCCCAGTACAGGCAGAGCTAAAAAAAGACACTGATGCAGGACCGTGACCTCGAAAAGAACCAGGATTTATCTGGGCTGTACCACACAAATGTGAATCCGCTGCACCTGCTGCAAAGCTAAATTCTTTGTATGCATTTCCGTCTTGTTCTAGTTACAACCTGGGCAGCGGTGCGGCTAACATTGTTGTCAACGGGACCTTTATCGACGGGAAATGGCACCGAGTCAAGGCTGTGAGGTAAGCTCTGAAATATTCTGTTTAGTAGGAAATGCTGCAGCACGTCTCTCACTATGGTTTCCCTTTTATTTGTCTTTACAATGACATTAAGCCTGAACACTGACAGATTGAACGGTACCTTATTAGCACCTGTAAGGTTGGAATGGTGAACATGTAAGCAAATGGTTGTGTAGTCACACATCCAGGAGACACGGGGAGGTCTGTGAGTGCATGCAAGTGCAAGATAGAAAAATAAAACTGTTAAATTGCCAGCCATGAAACCAAAAAAATTATAGTTAATAATATGAAACTGAAGCAGTTTCTGGGAGTTTTCTTGCTCTGGTTGCATTCTTATTCACTGTGTTTTATGACAGTATAAAGTCTAAAAGTAGGGAGAAGTCAAAAATGCAGATATTATGTCATAAATCACAAAAAGAAAAAGCAAAACTTGAATGTCTTTGATTATTTCAGAGGGTTAAAATGCTCCTTAAACATTACACAGTCAGTCGATCTATTGTTAATGTAAAAATCTTGACCAGCTTCATCTTAACTAGCGTTCATTTTGTCTCCAATTAAACTTTATCAGAAGCATTAATCAATTTGGAACATGAAAAACTTAGGAGCAGCCTTTAAATAATAATATTTTCTTTCCCATAACAGAATCTTTCTTTCTTTATTTCTCAAGTTTACTAACTGGTTATCGCTTGTCTCTCCAGGGATGGCCAGTCAGGGAAGCTGACGGTTGATGACTATGGAGCAAAGACGGGCAGGTCACCTGGAAAGATGAGGCAGCTGAATATCAATGGACCCTTATTTGTTGGTAGGTGTCACACTGTGAATCAATCATTGATGTCGACATATCTGCACGTCTTATATCTGCTTTCTTTGTGTTCTTCACCTGAAGGTGGCATGAAAGAAATAGCTCTTCACACAAACAGACAATACATGGGAGGCCTGGTGGGCTGCGTGTCCCACTTCACGCTCTCCACTGACTATCACTTAGCACTGGTGGAGGACGCTGCTGACGGCAAGAACATCAACACCTGCTCCAACTAAGAGAACAGCTTCAACACACCAAGGTCCACTTTTCAGCACCATTTACCATCTGGACCATCTGATTTGTCATCTTAAAACGGACTTGCCAGCACCAAATCAGTAAAAACAAAGAGGGTTTTTTGGTTTAAATATACTAATTCAGACCTGACGTGATTTAAACTCAAACTGGAAAAAAAACACCAACAATGTTTGAGTCGCAAGAATGTTTTTTTTTAAGTTGTTCCTGAATGCAGAGTGTTTAAATCAACTCTCAGCTGCCAACTTGTAAGGTTTACAGTTATTGCTAACGTGATGAATTTCTCTGGATCAACAGTTTCACCTGGTGGCTGCAGCAAACAGGACCACAGGTCATCAGAGGATGTTTTAAAGCACAAGTACTCTGTGAGAGCAGAGAAAAAAAGCTTAGCATTGTGGGTGTACTGAGAGTCTTTGAATAACCTTCTGAAGGACTTTTTTCATGGGATGAATCCAATTGTATCTTTATTTTTTCTACTGTAAATCCTTATTTGATTGCTGGAAGAACCAAGTGATCCAAGGGATCGAGACTCATCATGAACCTGAACTAGAGCAGCTAGCAGAGATACACTTCTTTATAGAGGATTTTTGGTTTTTGGCCCTAGAACAATTTTTGTTGTTTTTGTTTTTGTTGTTGTCGCCGTGGCATTTGTGTTCTTGTTTGTGATGTGTTATCAGTCTGTAGACAGACACATTTTCTAAAGTCTGATTGATGTCAGTTTTTTTTAAAGGCGTCTAGTTTGCAAGGGTAAAGATGTCAGCTGCACAAAGCATTGGTTTGTTTTTACCTTCTTCTTTAGTTTACTCTCAGATGTTAGTCACATGGAAGTCGGATGCTGACGTGATGAAGGAGTCCAAATCCTCGAGAAACTATGCATGACAGTGTGTTACTGTCATCTGACACCAACGACAACACCGTGGACTTCAGCCTTCAAGTTGAGTTGCTTTGAAAAAATTCTCTTATTTGACCCACTCACGTCCAAATCATCAGTTTATTGTTTTTTTTCCACGCTTCAGTTTTATCCTCTAAAAGGGGCGTTTTGTAAATGTTGCATTTTATGGATTATTTGTCATTTTATTATTGGTGTCCACAACAAACGTGACAACCAATATCCCAATAAGATGTTTTGCCCAATTTCTAACAAATCCAGTAACAATTTAACAGTTTATATGTCTGGACAGCATTTCAAAAGAGGTGCATCCGACGCGACGCGCTCGCTGTGGGCTGTGAATGTACATAGTATCTATTGACTTCCACCACAGGATGATTACATGGGTTGTTCCTCCGCTGTACAAAGTGTAGTGACTCAGTTTGAAACGTGGTAGAAAACAGATTGTAGACTGTAGTAAAATGCTGATGTGTCTGTGATCGGTGTCAGCATGTGTGTCTGAAGGTGCATTTAAAGCTTTAGGTTGACGCTAACTGCTAGCTGTCAGATAGCGAAGGCAGGTAATCCAAATTTGTGCACAGGCCTGACCTGTGTGGAGTAAAGACGGGAGGCAGGAACAAGCCAGATGGAGAGGAGCGCACACAAACAAGACAAGCCTTAATATTCCCTTTAAATAATCCCCGAAAAATTAAAATTTGCAATTAATTGTCCTACAGAGGAGCATCGAGGTGCCACCATTCGTTATGTGACTGATTTGGAAAGTGTGTATTTCCAGGCTTGCGGTCTCTCCCCATTCAAAGAGGATGAAACATGTAAATCGAGCTGAATGAATAAATCTGCCACTTGCATTCTGTATTTGTAACTGTTACACTGTGACAGCTGCCTGTCAGAAACTAGACTCTACGATTAATGCTAACAGAATAGCCTGCTGATTAAATACCTTGCTGGACAACGTTTTGTCATGGTTCATCATCATCATCATCGTGATTGACATTTTATTCAGGAAATGGACTCAAAGGAAGAAAATGGCACAGTTTATAACGTTTCAAATTCTATTTATTATGCCTGATACTTGATCACAATCATGCCGTGTGTTTTCCACATCAGTCTACAATTACACGAATGAATGAGTGAATAACTAGAGTTTTTCCATTATCTCATTATGTCTGTAATTAATGGACACCATAGATTCATAAAAGTCAGGACCAAAGTGCTGCTTATACATTTTCAAGCAACAAAGAAATCTAAGAATTGAGAAACAACTTGATTATCTTTCACAATCAGCTATTTAGAGCAACACAGAACTCATAAATCACTGTAAATAAACAGACATATACTATAGTGTTCCTGGAGAAATCAGAGTTAATAAAACATTACACAATCCACTTTGCCTTCTTTTCTAACTTTTCAAGGCAAAGTTAGCAAACTTAGACGCATCAAAATTCAACAACTGTTCCAGATTTTCAGAATTTCTACAATAGATTATTTTAGTTTTACTAATTTTTTCAACAGGCTGCAAGGTGGAGCGGTGGTTAGCATCGTTGCCTCGCAGCAAGAAGGTCGCCGGTTCGCGTCCTGGTGAGGACACCCGAGATCTTTCTGCGTGGAGTCTCCATGTTCTCCCCGTGCAGCGTGGGTTCTCTCTGGGTTCTCCAGCGTCCTCCCACACAGTCCAAAAACATGTTGAGGTCAATTGGTGATTCTAAATTGTCCGTAGGTGTGAATGTGAGTGTGCTTGGTTGTCTGTCTCTAAGTGTAGCCCTGTGATAGACTGGTGACCTGTCCAGGGTGTCCCCTGCCTTCACCCTGAGTCAGCTGGGATAGACTCCAGCCCCCCATGACCCTAGTGAGGATTAAACGGTGTATAGATAATGGATGGATGGATAATTTTCACAGCTCATATAATCAGTTTCCCCCTGAATATGGATTCAATGAGACTAACTTTAATGGATGAAGTTCTGTACAATGCAGCTAAACATTTTTGTTTCAGTCAAGCTCCAGAACTGTAACAAAAACAATCTGTTTCTGCCTCATATGGACACAGGAGAGGAAGCAAAAACAGCTTTAGCTGATTTGTCACAGTTGACAAATCACAGGGATCAGCAACAAGAACGCTTCAGAATTCAGAAGACATGAGCTCTGGTTCCTCTCTCGGCTCTGGCAAAAAGATTAGAGCTCCCAGTAGATGAAAACACTGACAACATCATCTCAACACTTACGACTGGGATTTACGGAGGCAAACCAGTAAATGATTTTGCTCGTCTTGACGTAAGCACAGTTTAGTCACGAGTCATTCTGGATTCAGTCGACATGTTTTTGAAATGTTGGAAACACGACGAGAAAACCGAATAACTCACACGTCAGGTTTGAATTCAAGAAACTGGATTTTGTTCCACACTAACACATAAACCGACAGAAATACAACGCCCAGTAAAGGAGTGGTGTTCACACAGAGGATTTATTGTATGTTTAAACCATGTCATTATGATCCGGTCTGCAGGTCACTTCAATCACGAGCAAAGGACACAAGGTTTGTAGTTCAGGACCTTCTGGTTGTTTCATGACATCTTTGTGGCTACAATGTTGTGCTTTGAAAATAGTCAGTTTGAGGCAACACAACCAGCTAGAAAGTATTATAGCATAAGTATACATGAGCAGACAAACTCTACACCTGTGGTATGTTAGTATATCTGAAGACTAGCAGCGCAAAAAAAAAAAAAAAAGGTAGAAGAAAATCTGTAATGTGTTTGGGGGAAATTGTTGATTTGTGTTATTCCTTTAACACCTTTGCTTCTCAAGTATACTTAAAAAAAAAGTTGCTATATTAGATGTATTTTGGCAATCTACCTAGACTTTGTTGAATCCAGATGTTGCCGTCTCTATCCCCTGATCAATATTAATTTACAGTTTGACATAAAGAAGGACATTGTCTTGCTGAAATTCAGCACACAGCTCCATTATATTAATGTAACTCCGTCTCTGATGAAAATTCTCTGTAAGCTGCTAATGGCCAGCCCACATCTGGCTTCCCCCTTCCTGCAGCTTAAGCAACCACGTCTTGTCTTCTTTTCACTTCACACTGGCAATCGAATTATTCGCTTGCTGTTGTTGTGTCATGTCACGTACGACCTAAACACAGGCAACAAGGCACAATTGTTTCCCCACTTCTCTCCCACTGTGAGCTCAATTCTTCCAACGTGGCATATTTTGTCTTTGCCTGGAACAAGACTTACATAAAAAGTCAAATGAACCAAGAGAGAAAGCAGCGGCTTCATTTAGTTAAATCCATTTGGCCATATTGAGGCCACGCACATATTATCACAGTTTGAGGTTAAAGGTATCCTGTGTATTGTTGTTGTTTGCTTAAATCTGCATTCACTTGTGAAAATGCCCAAGAATAATGAGTAATGGGCAATCATTTTACTTTATTTATTTTTTAATCTGGTGATTGTGTACTTTCCCATATTATTAATGCATTAAATACTGACTTGACCACTGTGACAGATCATATTGCAGCAGCATTATAGCCTCATGCTGCAGCATGATGGTTAGCCGACCCAGACAAACCGTATGTTTCACTTAGATCTTGTGATTCCAGTCATGCACATACTATTGGCTATCAATATCACATTTTGCATTCAAAACACAACATGAAAAATGGAAATGCACCTCCTACTGGCTCTGTTGCTTCCTTTCTTTCTTACTCTGCTGACTCACTGAGCCTTCAAATCGAGCAGATGGACGGAAACATAACAGGAAAAATCACTTGACCTTTGTGCACAGCTCTGTTTTTTCCCCTCAATCCTTTTTCGCATCAGTTTTTAGTAAGCGTGTTACCAAACAAGGTGATGTTCTGTTAAGTTTGTATTCCCCACCAAAAACAGGACTGACTGTATAAAGGTAAGGAGGGAGTCTAGTCTTACCAAATAGGGATTTGTCTTAATATTTACCACCGAACTGAAATGGAAGAGACAACTTTCTCATCCTTTTCTCTTTCCTGCCTGATTTATTCTCATGTCAATAAGTTCACCTTGTTTCTTTTCACTTTTTGAAAACTTTTACTAAAAAAAAAACTGAAGTGGTTTTTAAAAGACGCGAAGAACAGAACACTCTGTCACAAACCCACTGTGCTATGACAGTGCATGGGAAATAAATTAGTTAGTGTGCACCCGATCAATAATTCAGTAATCAGCCGGAACAAAACATTATCGCTCAATGTAGTAAGAAGTGAATCTGTAGGGGGGGGGAAGAAAAAAGGACATCGGACTCTGCTATAATGCTGCTTAAAAAGTGATTTAAATTATATATATTCCATGATAAATGATGAAAGAGTCCATCCTCTCCGTGGGATGTACATTCAAACAGGAGCCACAGGGAACATGTCATTCTCAGGTGAGTGTCGAACACACAGATCTGGATGTGTTTAGATTAAAAGCACATCCTGCTGGTCATTGTCCAGTCACCAGATATTCTTTTATGAGCAAAAATAAATAAATAAATAAATAAATCTTTCCTTTTATTCTGTAATTCAGCAAATCCTTTTTAAGAGACAAGAGATTAAACAAGTTCTAAGTAGACATAGTGGAATACAATCAACTGTTGTCATGTCCCAATCAGAAATACAAATGAGAGACTAATCCTTTAAGCACACAGATTAAACATGTGCATGAACGAAAAAAAGGAAAAGTTTTTATTTATTCTGTTTTTCTTTTTTCCTTGTAAGCACCAAATCAGGAGATGTTTAAGACATGCTGAGATGAAATTAAGATTGACATGATTCAGGCTTGAAACATGAATGAATGACTCGTGGTAATCCAACATTTATATTTCTGTGTAAAAAATGCAACGACTTCTGTGTGTGTCTGTTGTAACAACACTCTTAACAAACCACTTAACCGTGTCTGCTCAGGTCGCTGATTTTTTGCTCTTGCTGGTTTCATTAATACTGAAAACAACTCAGAACAGATTGAAAATTGCCATTAATCTTCTTCTGGTGAAGAAACTTCTGGTCTTTGTTGCCAGAGTCGTCAATGTCATAACATTATTTTGTATCCACAATGAATGCACGATGTTGCATCTGTAGTCAGGCAGCCAAAATGAATGAAATCACTGATGGCTTTCCATTCATTCTTCTTTATCTAACAGCTTGAAGCATTGAGAAGTGAGACTGAGGTCAGGTGACTCTGAAGGAAAGCCCGTGACACACAGCTCTATTTGGTCTCGCAAAACCTTCTGTCATGTCTCGTACCAGGTGTTAGGTTTTATTTGGTTTTTTGTCTTGTATTTGTGTTGTCTCGTGGCTTTTATTTTGAAACCTCTTTGCCCTCGTGTTTCAAGAAACTTGCCCTCTCCCCGGTGTTTCCTGTGTCTGATTGTCTACCCAGCCCTGATTGTCTCCACCTGTTCCTCATTACCTTGTGTGTGTATATATAGTCTGCGTCTCC